ATGAGCTCCCGGGGGAGATCTGGGCCCTGCGGGATTTGGTGCAGTTCCGCAGGGCCTGCAAGACGGAGCTCTTCCACCAGGCTTTCGAGTAGGGGCCGCTGCCCCCCCCTATTATGTTACCATCTTGGGGGGGGATTTGAAGAGGCCCTGAGAAGAGCCCTGAGAAGATCTTTGGAACATCGTGACGCTATAGACTGTCTGCCAAGAATTGTTGGAACTGTCCCGCCATCTTGGGTTTTTGGAGTTTTAGTTACCACCGAGCACTTTATGTGAGATAGGATGGGTTTTTAAATTGTATAAAATGTTTTATAATGCAGATATATTGTTATTTTGTATTGTGGTTTTACTGCTGCAAGTTTATCTTGCCCTGTAAGCCGCCCTGAGCCCTACGGGGGAGGGCGGGATATAAATGTGAATAATAAATAAATAAATAAATAAATAATATGCAAAGGAGTTCCTGCTACAAAAAGAGCCCGTCTTGTCAACTTGATCCATACAAACTAATTCCTGCAACTACTCCTGAGGAATTCCTATAAACAACTTGACATTTGGCTGTTTGCCACATGACCCCAGAGAGCAACCTATCTTTGGCTTTCCTGCAAAGTCCATTGTGGAGGAAAAGGAAGAAGGTAGGCTGGGTACTGAAAAGGATTACAGAGGACTTTGCAAAATTACTTGAGAGGTTTGGAGACTCTTTCTGGAGAAAAACATCTAAGCATAACCTTTACCTTCTAAAATGTTAAAATGTCTTTTTACCTTAAAATACATTATTGTCCAAGAGCCATGGGTTCATAAGATATAAATGCATCCTAAACTAAGCAAATAAACAGATCTAATTTGTTCATAATAGTCAACATTTTTAAAAAATCCATAACAGCATATACTAATATAAAAATAACCAACTACAAATAGCCCAATCATAAATCAGACTGAACTATAAAGCCCTCATGCTGCTCTCTGAAGGCTGTTCTATAAAGCCCTCAAGCTGCTCTCTGAAGGCTGTTCTGAACAAATTTGTTTTTTAAAAAACATTTTTATTAATTTCATAGAAAGTTACTACAGAATGAAGAAAAAAAGAAAAAAGAATAGAACAGAAAAATCTGACAGAATGGATACTATACTCTTACATCTACTCTAGTTTACAATGGTAGAATCTTCTTCTTTACCGCCATATCTGTAAAGTTTTTGTTGTAATTCATACTTTAAGTTCTGTAAGGTAGTTTTGCATCTAATTATAAAATCTCGCCCATTTTCTTTCAAAGTTTCCTTCTTATTTTTCATGTAGTTATAAAGTTAGTTTGTCCATTTCACATATCTAGAATCTAATTGGGCTCTTTCCCACCAATTCAAGTTGATTCCTTTTCCCTTTAACTTTTCTTGCTGAATTAATTTGTTTTGGTTATTTTCCAATGTAATCCATTCCTTCACCCATGTGAGAACTGCCGCTTTCCTTGGAGTCTTGTAATAGTTTTAACTTAATTCTTGACTTTTTACCTTCCCAAATAAATTGTCTTATCAGCTTTTCTAGCTCTTTGAAATATTGTTTGCTCTTTATAATTGGAATTGTCTGAAGTAGGAAAATCAATCTGGGTAAAATATTCATCTTAACTGCTGCTATCCTTCCTATAAATGATAGTTGCAAATGCTTCTAGTTTTCTAGATTCTTTTTGATTTCCACCAAAAGTTTCATATAATTGTTTCTAAACAATGAACTACATCTGTTGGTTATTATTATTCCTAAATACTTGATTTTTTTCTGTACCTCCAATCCTGAGGAATCTTGTATGGCTTTTTTGTTCTTTTGTACAGTTTTTTAACATTAATTTTTTTTTTTAAGATTTATCTTCAGGCCATCCATATTTTTTATTACATGTAAAAGTTGAACAATTGAAGTTTGGGGTTCTTCTAATATGAATACCAGGTCATCAGCAAATGCTTGTAGTTTATACTCCTCTCCTTTGAGTCTGAATCCCTTGATTTCACAGTCTTCTCTGATCATATTGTTTAATGTTTCCAGTGCGAAAATAAATAAAAGTGGAGATAATGGGCATCCTTGTCTTGTTCCTTTCCCAATTTTAATATTTTGCATAAGATCACCATTTACTAAACTTTTTGCAGATTGTGTTGTGTATATTGCTTTCACCATGGTATAAAAATATTCTCCACAGTCCCAAGCCAACAGTTGTTCCAACATAAAGGACCAATTAAGATTGTCAAAGGCCTTTTCCACATCCAGAAATAATAATGCCATTTGTTTTTCAGGGTGTGCTTCAAAAAATTCTAATACCTTCAAGATGGTTCTCACATTGTTTCTCATTTGTCTTTTTGGCAAAAATCCTGATTGATCCTGGTGTATTGTTTTAACCAAAGCTTTTTTCAATCTCCTTGCCAAGATAGATGCATAAATTTTGTAGTCCACATTGAGTAATGATATTGGTCGATAATTTTTAATTTTGGTTTCATCTGTGTCTGATTTGTGTATTAATGTAATCAATGTTTGGTTCCACAACTCTGGTAGTTTCTTTTGTTCAAATATATTTTGAATGGTATCCTTCAATGGTAGTGCAATTTGGTCCTCAAATATCTGGTAAAATTCTGCAGGTATCCCATCTGGACCTGGAGTTTTCTTCTTTTGATTTTTGATAGCCTCAATTATTTCTGAAAAGGAAATTGGGTCGTTTAGGGTTTTTCTTTGCTCCTCTGTAAAAAATGTTTTGTTATATTTTTGTAAAAAGTCTCTAATTTGATCTTGGAATTCCCTTCTTGATATAAATTACTATAAAACCCTTCAACGATACTCTTTACTTCATTGTGAATATTTTTTTCTTCACCTTTTTCATTTTTCAAAATTTTTATGTTTCTTATCTGCTTGTTTTCATAATTTATATGCCAACCATCTAGTAGGCTTATTAGCATTTTTAAAATAATTTTGTTTTGCAAACATTATTTCTGAACAAATCTGTTTTGTGGCCTCACAAGAAAGGAGGGGTTGAAGCTTTCACCACCTCCTCCAGGAGGCTATCCCACAAAACTGTATAAGCAACTGTGAAAGCACACACCAGGACTGTAACGGATCTAACCTTGGCCAGAGAAGGGACTGCCAAAAGACTTTGCTGCAAGAAGCAGAGTTGTTACACAGGTGCATATATGGGGCAGATAGATTTTCAAGTGTGTACTAGCTATAATGGAATTGTTTTTAGATGATTTTATGCTGTTTTAATTGCATTTATGGATTGATTGTGAGCCGCCCTGAGTCTGCATCTGTGGGGAGGGCGGGGTATAAATGAGATAAATAAATAAATAAAACATCCCTGGCTAAAACCAAAGATAAAATAGC